TGCCCCTCTTGGGGAAAGCTCACATAAAGGGGCCATGGGGAGGAGAAATGAGGGGCTCAGGGCTGCATCTCTTTCCCTCTCCAGGATGGATCTAAGCCCTGGGGACTGACAGCACTGTACAGCACGTGTGTGTTGGAAGCGGGGATGGTCCTGCACCAGTTTGGTGCCAGTGTGTTGTGATTTTCCAGGAGGAGCAGCTCTGTGGACAAAGCTTCCTGTGTTGCAGAATGAAGCACAGAACAAACCCAGGCAGGAGGTGCACTCATCCCTTGCACTGATGAAAGAGGAATGGGAAAATTGGAAATATTGCTGTCTGTGTGAGCAGGCACTGACTCTGCCAAGGGGAGTAGCTCAGGTCAGTAACTGAAACCCTGTTTGGRTACCTGGGTGACCGAGGAGGAAAGCAGAGCAAAAGGTTGGCATGTCTTTGGAGGCACTGGTATGATCTGCACATCTGACACGAGCACAATGGAGCCAGAGGAAGCAAGCTGTGAGCGTGATACATTACAGAAATGTGCCAAAAGGGGAAAAAATAGCGYGTGAATGGTGATTTGAAAAGTTCTGGTTCTCACAGTGTTGGGAATAGTCCTGATTTATTAGCTCTGCAATAGCTTTGGTCCTGCTGTCTGTTTCAAACCGCTCCTAGCACTTAAAACTACATTTTCTGTCCCTGCAGAGACATTTTGCCTGCACTGCTGTCGATGGCAGTTTGAACTCAGCTCACTCCAGAATTTCCCCAGTAGCATCTGCCTGCTTAGGTTGGTGTTGCAGATCAGAGTAAAGGCCCAGTCAGCAAGAAAAATGTTGTGAAATCAGCTGCAATGGCACAATGGGTGTTGATGGACAGCTGCAAATGCTGTGCTACGGATGGGTGAGCCGGGGGAGGCTGAATCTCCCAGATTTGCTTGCTAAATACGTTGTTTTCACAGCCCCTGGTGAGGGAGATGTGCTTCCYGAGGAGCACGGGGCTGGCAGCCAGGCTGGGCTATGCTGATCTTCCATCTCCACCAGGGCTGGATAAACCCTGACCCCTCTGCTCCAGGGGCTCTGCACCCTGACCCAGAAGCTGCTCTTGTGCTCACTAACAGGGCCGTGGGTATTTCCAGTTTACTCACATCACTCACTCTCTGTTCCCTGCCCCAGCAGTGATGAGCTCTCCACAAGGAGCTCACTCGGGTTTGATCTCCACTTTTCAGGTTCTCTGTCCCTCAGCTCAGGTCTCAGAGCCTTCCCCCTGAGCCTGGACATTCCCCTGTGCTCCCTGTACCCCAGCTGTCCTTGGCCCTGCAGCCATGCCCAGCGCTGCTCTGCCCCACAGCACAGCAAAGGAGCAGAGAGGAAGGACCTCTCTTTTCTTTACCTGAAAACAAAGTCCACCAGCAACCTGGGAGAAGGGAAAGGGGGGTGTGTGGGAATGGCTAAAAGGGTTTATTTTAACATATTAAAAAAGCAAGGCAAGAAACTGAGGACAGACTTGGTGAGTAACCTGGCCCTGGTCTGGGTGGGTGTGGAGACAGCGCTGGAGGAGCCAGTTGCTCTAAATGAGCAGAATTCCTGTGAATGTGTCTTAATTATTACACAGCCACGGGGACAAAGCTGCTAAAGCAGCAGGGGAGAGCTGAAGCTGCTAAAGCAGCACCAACCAAACAGCTGGGCAGGGAACGGGAGAATGTCTGGCACCATCCCTTCAGCTGTGTCACACAGATTATCTGTGGGGAGAGAAAAAACAAACCCTGGCCCTCATCGGGAGGGAGGAAGGAAGGAAGGGAGGGAGGAAGGGAGGGAGG